AGTTTCCTAAATGCATCTTTAGCCTAAAGACCCACGTGCAGATTGGGAAGTTTTCTCAACTTTCAGAAGATTTTTATGTTCAAGCTACTGACAGACAGTCCATGCCTTTCATGAGCTGTGTTAGGGTTCAAGAGCCACATATATGCAGGGATCAGGGGAATCAGAAAAGCTGGACATACATAGTGAAATACCCCACATCCCAGCAGCAACACCTTGAATCAACTCTGTGGGAAAATGGGCGGAGGCACAAATATTACCATGATGGTATTTTTACACTGACAGAGGAAGCAGAGCACATGCTTTTCTCAGCGTAAGCCTGTGAAAGACCAAACACCAATGCTGTGGGTTGTTCACCCTGTTGCAGCTCCACTGCTACTGCCTAGTGACAGGCAGCAAAATGGGAAGGGGTCTGCAAAAACCACTGCAGATCAAATGCATGCGATGAACAGCAGCAGCTACGTGCTGAGAGGAATAATGCTCAGATTTTTCCTTGTATAAAAGAACAAAACAAAACAAACTCCACGCATATCTTCATTCCTAGCTTGGGTTTTGCTTTCTGTGTTGCAATAATGCTTTACTCGTCGCTGCTTCTCCTAGGCAGGCATTTCACATGCAAAATCCAAAGCACCTTTCCATACCATGAGCATGAATAACATAGTGGTCTAGGAGGAGGAGGAGGGGAAAAAATATGGGACATGAAATGTCATGTTTCAGCCTTACACTTGATTTCTGTAAAAATCTGTCAGTCACATATGAGGAATTTGAGCTTGGAGGGGCATTAAAACCAAAGTTGGTGATAAGCTCAAAAGGTTGCTAGAAAAGGCGGTTCTGGAGAATGTGGAGAACTTTCAGAAAAATAAATAAATAAAAAGGGCATTAAGTCAAGGTGAGCTGAGAAGTATGCAACCAGGAAAACCTGCCAATAAAAGGCACTCCTTCGGAACATAATGTTTTGTCTGACTCCTTTATCAGGAAATCAATTTACAACTGCTTCTTATTACTCTGAACTGAGAGTGACAGGAGTGCAAAATCTCTAAATCTGAGAAAGGAGGGTAGACAGAGTATGCCAGTCCTCAAAAACTGAAAGTTTAAATGTTTTCTGCCTTTGCATTTTAATGATATCCATCCTGTTCAGCTCTTTCTTCCCTGCTGGTGTTTTAGTAGTTGTTATTTTTAATTTTTTAAAATCCTACTGCTATGCACCACCAATGCAGCTTTGTCAGTTTTGCAGTGCTCAAGAGCAGCTGGACTACAGCAATCTCTCATGGATAAAGCTAACCAGGGGTGCCTAAAATTGCCATTTAAGTACAAGGCCTTTTCCCCTTTGCAGAAGACCAAGTATCTTAGACTTCAAAGAAAAGATTTTGGTTAAAATGCCATCCCAGAAATATACAGGAATTCACATCCCATTCCAGTTCAAACTTTCAACATGCAGAAGGTAGAAGAAATTATCTAGGTTGGAAGCCAATCTACAAAATTGTCTGCAACTTCAAATGTAATTGTGATGTCCTTTTATTTCTATTTTACTGTAGTCAAATAGTTTCACTTGGATTTTACAAGGATGAATTCTTTCACAGCACAAAAATGCAAGACACCCTTCCCTTGCCTCTTCCCTCTGCCACATTTTCCTCTTCTCAGCAAGACGCCCTTTTTGTCCATTTTCTCTTGTTATCCAGAAGTCCTCCAGCATGACCAACTTTATCATTCTCTTTTCTCAGTTTGACTTGTATAAGGGTTTGGTGTTCACCAGCATTCCCTTGCCTGTAGAGATGCAGGCACTGGAGTGCCCATGATATGCTCCACAAACTTATCAAATACACATGTATTCTTGGATCTTATCCTATCCCCAGACAAATAAAACCTGAGGAATTGATAAATCAAGACAGTCTACAACCTTAGATGGCTCTTAATCCACCCAGAGCTGTTTCAGTCTCAAAATTTCTTTCTTCAGCAAGCATAACTCTTGCCCCTGCATACTTGGGAAGCCTTTCATGTTAAATTGTTCTCTTGTCAGGACTGGTCAACATGTTTACTCATTAGATCTCCTATTTCTTCAGTAAGTCTGTGCTGCTTTCTCAGTAGTAACACTGCAAGGTTCACTCACCTCCTTGTGGGAATCCTTATGCGCTTCCAGGGTTTTCATGATGGTCAACTCAGCATAGTTCTTGAACCTGGCTGGCTGATTCCGCAAGATCTCCCTCAGGACTCTTAGTGCCAGGGCTCTTATTGAATGCTGTGTCAAGAGAAAGCCACATTAGATACCATTTCTCAAAATTCTAGTTCGAAGTAAATTCTGATGGCTCTCTACCCCTCACCACAAGTCTGATATTCTGCTGGAGTTGGTACAGCAGAGTAAACAATGTACTGAAAATTGAGTTGGTCTTGTTGGCATCTACTGCACAGAAATTCACATAAAATGACTGTTCTCATAGATATAGGAAAGAACCAAAATGGCAGAATGTTTTATTTTTTTCCTTCTAATTTCATACTTTTTTAGTAATGAACTACAAGTAGCATGCCTGTATTATATGAATGTACAAAGAAGCTCAGATTGTATTTGTTTTGCTCTTCCTCTTTGGTTCAGTTTTGCAGACCTCAAACTGAGCTCCAACTATGCAACAGTCAAAACTCCTTCTCATATACGGATGTTCCTGTAAGCCTTATGGAAATTATTTTCAAGAACAGTCAGTCATTGTAGTCACTCTGACCTGTGCGTTAATCCTTTATATCAAAAGATCATTAGCAGAAGGTATTTACAACACCTGGTTCATTTTTATAGCTGTTATATTAAGAAGTTTGGATTTGGGCCATTCCAAATATATTATTTCAACAGAGGAATTCTTATTTTCCTCTATACTGAGCCTTTCATTTCTACTTAAAGCCACTATATCTTTTTGTACATCTGTGATGACACTGTAATATATATAGGACACTACAGCAGCTCACACTTACACTACAACAGTGACTGACCCACCTACACCACCTCAGAATTAAACATGCATTTTCAAGAGTGCCATATGCTTCACAACGAGTATAAGCAGCACATAGTTGATACACAGATCCAAAGAAAAACAACTGTGAGGGCTTTTAAGCCTAAATATGATAAACATTCAGATATAGCATGATCCTTATTTGAAGGAACAGTGAGGGTGCTCAGTCTTAGTGAATCTCACCGTGCTGCAGACTGAAGAGATAGCCCAATAAGGCAAAACAAAAGCTTAGTCTGTCAGTTCCAACTTTAAGTTAAAAATTGGCAGTAGTTGACCAAAGTGATTTCCTTCCTCATTCTAGTTCAATTTCATAACTACTTGTTATTAAACTATCAGGAGGGATAAGAAAAAAGTTACACTTCAGAGTAGCTTGAAATTCATCGTTTAACGCTGACAATGAAAGTAGAGCCAACAACCTTCACAAGAAAACTTGAGCAGCGCAATAGCACTGATGAAAAGCTGAAGTAGTAACAAGCAATACAAATGCAACAGATTTAATGTGGAGAAACTGCCACCCTAGATGAAGCAATGTACAGTAAAGTCAAGACAAAAGTCTGCATCTCACATCTTTGTCTCCAAGCGTTTCCAGCAACAAAAGCAGAATGGTTTTGAAATGTTCCTCCCAGACTCCAAGATTATCCTCACGCGTGATCTTCAGCAGCTCCAGGAGGGCTCCTTTCCGCTCCTCCACCCGCTCGTTGTGGTTAGAGAGCTCTTTCAGAAGATCCGCCACCAAATCAGAATGGTCAATGGGTACTTCTAGGACAAACAGCACCAAGTCATTTGGGAAAATGAGGAAAAGATCAAAGACAGCAAGATTCCTAAATCTGTACAGAACAAAGTGCATGGAACATCAGACTCCACCCCCAAAAGGCAGCAAATCCCAGGCAGCCTCAATCAATCAAGAAAGAGGACCTGAATAGTTCACAAGTTCACCTTAATTTCACCCAAGTTCGTCTCTCAGATCATGAATCTACGTGGCTTCTAACAAACCAGGAAGAAACAATGATTGAATTTCATCCAATTCCAATAATTAATTCTACAAGACGAGAATTTCCAGAGTTTGCCCTAGACTTATGCACCTCTGACCCTTATCGCAGTGCAGTAGGAATAAAGTGAAGTTGCAGCATGATTTACACACAGTGAAACACACCTAAGTTATGGACTGAGCAAGTGGTTACAATCTTCAAGAGGATACGGTCTACAAAATAAGGTCCCTAGAGACTCATTTAATTTAAACTCTTATGACTAGTCTGATACAAACTTTATGCAAAAACACATAAACTGCAGTATAACATTTTCTCAACATCCCCATATCAGGTTCAGCTTTCACACGAGAACACAGAGCATTTTGTGCCAAGCCCTGTGTCAGGTGCAAAGTAAAACACAGCGTATCCTTACACAGGCCTGCACCCGAGAGCACCACACGTGCACAAACGCACAAAGAACAAAACAAGCTGCTTGCAAAACAAGCTAGAGATACAAACCATCCCGAAGCTGATCCATGTCATCATCAAACACTGCTTCCTTCAGGGCAGTCTTGTCGTAAGTATTAATCGTGTCGGAATAAGGGTAAGGGTTGTACTCTCGAGCACGGGGCCCTGAAAACGCACGGGGAGGCTGAGTATTAAGAAGGGAGGTTTTGTTATCCAGGGCCATCCTTCCCCCTTCCACAACGTCACTGCTGCCACGGACATCGCCGGACGGCACCGCGAGGCCTCCATCTCGAGACACCTGGAGACACAAGCAGACACAAAAGGCATGAGGTTATTTCAACTCAGTGGTAGCTCTAAAATTTAGAAGTCCATCCACCCATAAAAGACTGAATTTTGCCTAGCATCCTTTACACATACCTAATTACTTCTTTCCTTGACTCATATAAACACTACTGTTTCAAAAAAAAATCTTAGAAGCTCAGGGACAAAAAAAACAAGCAACACACCAACATTCCTAAATCTAAACGAGTATTTTAAAGTTGCACAGGGTGTCACAAATCATAAATAAGCCCTGGGACAAGACTAGAAATTACCAGAGAAATAAGAAATTATGGAAATTACCAGAGCAATAGGTGAAAGTGGGCTTCTTTTAAAGTGAAAGGAAACAAAAGCATAAGTTTTTCACAAAACCTCACATCTGCACTGATAAAGGGGGCCAGATGGTATTTAGCAAACCAAAGCCCAAAGTCATCTTGGACCACTAAAGATTTTCCAGCTTTGAAGAACAAGTTAATCTGCTAACCTAAACTTGTGTTTGTCCAGGAGGGAGGCAAGAAAAAATATTCCCCCAAATCTTGTAAATTTTGATGTCCATATATTTTAATAAAACAAATGGCATCTCCCTGGACAGATGACTGTGACCATTCACAAAGCATGAAGTAATGTAACAGTCAGGCTCTCAAAGTAGTTATAGGTGTCTCCTATGTATGAGCTACGAACATGCAAGGGAAAACATGTGTGCATTCTAAAAACTCTTCCTAAGACAGACCTGACTACACCCATTCCATGAAAAAGCCATCACTGAGCAATACTGAGACCAAGAAACACTGATTTCTCCTTACAAGATACTCTCATTCAGAGCACATTTCACAGGAGATTAAATAGTTCAAGGTGAGCAGAAGACTACAGATCTGGGACCCAGTAATTCGGAGTTAAGTTAGTAACCAACAAGCAAAAGACATTTGCAATAAAATAAAAAGCACAACAAAGAATATCTGGACTTTGGATACTAGTTAACAAAGCAAAGGCAGGTTTGAAAGCAGTGCTTTAAAATTTCACCTCTCCCCAGACATTAATCAAATACTTACAATATCACAGTCTTTCTTTCCATCCCGTTTGATTGGTTCATTCAGGTCCTCTTGACTACGGAAACTAAATTTTTCAATTGCTTCTGTGACTCCACGAAGAGAGCTGTAGATTTCATCAGAATTTAGGTTCTCCGTGTCATAATCCAGCATACTAAAGACCAAACGTATATGAAATGTTACAGATGAAATTGGAAACAACTTCTAACTTTTAACAAAGACAATGCCAAGTTGGAAACAGATGATTTGGTGAACCATTTCTAATGGCGACTTGTCACAACACATGGATGGAATCCAAGCGGACCTCAGGTCTGAGTCTCTACTGAGACCAGAGTAAATCTAGGAGAAGTTTCACTAAAATCAGAGGAGTTAAACTGTTCTAAATGAGGGGAAATCAGGCCCAGGATTTGTTATATTCCACAGTAGCAAGTGTCTTAGCTTCTGTAAAGCTGAAACCTATGTGCTGCAATGTGTTAATGAAAAGAAAAAAAATACATATACATGTGTGTGTATATATATATATATGTATGTATAGATATATATATATATATGAATGAATGTGAACTCAAAGAGTTGCAACAGCTGGTGGAAATACAATTAATGAAATTTAGCTTCAAGTTTTATAATGTGTCAAATACATTCTATGGATTCAAATATGTGAGATCTAAATGGAAAGATAAATGTATCTTGACATAAAGCTTAATTTAACTTCATCCAGTTTTGATTCACAGAATAGGAAAGACAGAACCACTTGCATGGTGCCTTGACAGCAGAAGCATTTTAGTATTGCACCAAAGTTTAGGAAATCTCACACAAATCTGGTGCTTTCTTGCAGCCAGATGGTTCGAAATTCCTCAGCAGTGTAGAGGCACGCATGCTTTGGGCTTCCATAGTGAGTTATCCAAAATTAAGTTCCACAGAAAGAAGTGTCTGAGTGTAAGAACAGATGATAGAAAAGATGTGGCTAGAAAGATAAACTCCAACACACTCGTAGAAAATAAAATTAAAAGGCATTATTGGCAGGCCCGCTGTATTCAAGTCAAGCTTGCATGACTAAGTCAGTTTTCCAAGAGAGACTGTTACGAAGTGACCTAGTGACTGAGAACAATTTCTCTGGAGGAGCCTAGAATCTTTAGTAGAGCCAGAAGCAAATAAACCAAAGGAATTTAAGACATTTACATCATGTTGTTGGTCAGTAAATGTCAAGAAGTGGCTCCCTACACAGGGGTGAATTACTATTAACAGGGAAGGATGACAGGATGGGCTTAAAGCACGATAGCTGAAGAGAGCTGCGTTCCTTTTCCACAAAGGAAAGATTCCCTATGAGGTGAATGTGTCAGGAAATCAAGAAGAGAAAAAACTCTTTTCAATCCTGGCTACACTGATATTATTTTCAGTAGAAGTAGGTAATTCATTATCTAGAACCATGACTTTTTCTGGACTCAAGAACTTCAGACAAAGGATGAGACTGGTGCTTCCTGATTCCACTGGGATTAACACATACTGAAAATAGCCTTAACCCTGGCTTCCAAGCAACACGCTTGCTTTTCAAACACACAAGCATCAGCAAACTGTATTCTGGCAAATAAACCAAAGAACAACCCCCAGGCAGGGCCTAGTTGGGAAGAAAAAGAAACCACTAGAGCAGACCAAGGCCAGGAAACAAGAGTTGTTTATAAATCTGCTTAAATCAGAATATTTAGGGCCTTTCAGACCATTTCACGCTAATGCACTGCGCTTGCTTTCCACACTGAGAAAAGCAAAGGAGGTTTTAGGATTCCTTGTAACTATCAAGCATGAATGGGAGAACCTTTGTTGCATATCATCTCGGAAATATAGAGTTCGGTTAAGTTTAATTCAAAGATTTCAACAGGTTCTTGGTTCAAAATTTAAGCAATGAAATAGTCAGTCTAGAAGGTGTATGTGTGATTTTTTAACTGCACACCTATCCCAGGAGATGAAGCAGCTTACCAAAGGTCACCTAAGGAAATCCGTGGCAAAACTGATAAGACTTGCAGGAATACCAACAGTCTTCTGCAATACCCACTGCCTTCTTCAGGGGAAAATTTTGCCCTTACACTGCTCCCAAAACAGAGATCAAAATACAGACCCTGCCATGCTACAGGACTAAGGCAAGTTTTGAGCAAAGAACAGCCAAACTACAGGGGCATGTGATCTGACTCCCCCCTCACCCCCCAAAGCACAAAGCCAAAGTTTGATAAAAACCTAAGGAATCTATGGATCTTGTATGTCAAGAAGCTTGTGTACGTGATCCCCTTATGGTTGTATTTTATATAAAATAAAATTTTACATGTGAGCAAACACAGTTACTGCCAGTATGTGTGCTGAAATACTTCATAGACAACATGATGGCAGGGAAAAAAGAGGAAAAAATAAAATGGAACTACACCCACCTTCCAGGGGAAGAAAGTCACAAAAGAAAAAAAGAAAATTATGACTCATGCAGAAAACCAGGAGAGTCACAGGATGGAGAAGAAGTGAGTAGAGATGAGCAGCTTTTAGTGATGTCACAGCATTATTTTCCATGTTACGTTGCACTAAAGCAATACAGCTAAGTTCATCAACACATAATTTTGCAATTTACTGGTCTGACACAATATGCATTTTACTTCCTTAAACTATTATAGACTTTCAAACCCAAACTATGTGCAAGTGATCAACAGTTTAGCATCCTCAAGCAGTACACAGTAATTTTGCTTTCAGGCTCAGGGCTGGAATATGCATCAAATAATTCCAAACATCAACACAGATTAATGAAAGGAGAAAAATGTATATTTTTGACACACTTATCCCAGAAAACAACATGGATTTTTTTCCATAGATTTCTCAGCATGATGTCAGAATACAGGTTAATATTTACATCTATACTTGTACATAGATGTCTCTGGAAATGCCGCAGGTTCTCAGATTTTAGGCCTTCAAAGAACCACTTGTTTTGCTTTGTTTCAGCTTTCTTGCTTTGAGGAAAGGTGATGCTGTCCTTCCACAGACAACAGCCACATTCAAGTCAGAAGAAAATATATCAACAGACACACTGCTGGCAAGGTCTGAACTTACAAAATTCAAGGAAGCTAACTCAGAGATGGGTCTGATGAATTAAATTTGAATTCAGAAGTTTTTTGATTAAAAATAGCACACAGATTTAATCTAGTCTAGTGATTAAAGCCCATATACACACAGGAACAAAACACGAGGCCAGAGGCACGAGGAGATTTCAGAATTAGCAGTAAATAACTCTCAAGTCTTTTTTGAAAAGGACACTTAATATTGCCATTTTAATTTCAATATTGCAATTTTCCATGATGTTTCACAATCATATTATGGAAACATCAGGTAAAGCCAATAGTCAACCCATTGCCTTCTCCAACCAGACACTCTGGGAATCTCATGCCCCACTTTGAACAAATTTCGTTGTGTGAAAGGTAAATAATACTGTGACACCTCAGACAAGTTGGTTTAACAGGTAGCTTGTTACCTGGGAGAGTAAGAGCGTCTGAAAGTCTTGTGGGAAGGAGCAGTGGGGATGGAGTTAGGCTGAGAAAGGGGAGGGGGGTGCTTCGACAGCCCGTCTGCACTCCAACCCCAGAACCGACTGCAGTGAGCGGAGGAGAAACGAAAGAGAAAACAGAGAAAGGAGAGGGAGAAAAAAAAGAAACTATAATCTGAGTGGCTTAGTGCTGTCATGCTGCCTTGGAGAAAGAAAGAGAGAAAAATTTAATAGAAACAAAATTAAACAAGAATACTCCATTGAGCCACACAAGTCATTGCTTTGGTCTTTATTAATTTCTACTTGTTTCTAACACGATGATACCATTCATAAAAAGTATATAGTAGCTGCTTGTCCTAATAAATGAATTGCATATATGGGTAGAGCTTCTACAAACAACTCTTAAAATGTTCTAGTCGAACAAATTCTGACCATGTGTCTGGATTCCCAACCTAAGCAGATACTTGCAAGCAACAGAATTTCCTGGATGAAAGGGGCTGGCGTTGAATCCTAGTCAGATACCCAAGAGCAGCTTGTAAAGTTTGGCACCAGGAGCCTCTAGTAAGAGCCTGCAATCCTGCCCCAATCAACTAGCACTGAGCCTCCACAGGGCTTGAGACACCTCTATTCCACCAGATTCAAACTGACCCCAAATGAGTAGTAAATGAAAGTTAGTCCAGAGTGTAAAACATATCACGTGAATCAGGAGTTTGGTCAAAGTCCCAGCAGGCAAACCTTAAAAGTCTAAACGAAATCCAGCTCTCTGTGAATCTTCGAAGTTGTACAAAGCTCTTTTAGGTCACAGTTTTGCACAGTGCCTTTAGCTCAAGGCATCCAATGCTGTGCAAATTTGTTTCAAGTACAAGCCTTCATTTTTGTCCTACTGCCTTTACGCTGCATGGATTTCCAAAATCATCTTCCAAATGAGAATCCAGATGCTTGAGCTGGTGGAGTATTCAGGATGCTACTTTGTTTCTATTAAGTTTAAGCACACTGTCTTGGAGGGTCGTATTTGTGTATGTATTAAGTGAAAGATGCTGCAAGATCAGCAACGGCAAACAAGTAAAGAACTGCTCTAGTGTAAACAGCTGCGATGCCTGTTGAAAACTCATCTGAAGAGCGGCGTCAAGAAACTCACTTGTTAACCAGCAAGCAAAGCACCTAGCTATCACAAAACAGCTATTACAGAAGTGCACCTCACAAGACTGCTCATTTGAAACCTCCTACCCCAGATCTCACCTACCTGCAAATAAGCCAACAAACAACGCAGACTTTCCTTACTGTACAAGGTGGGTGGCTTATTTTAACATTTTCCTTGCTCAACTTAATACCAAAACTATTGAAATTTACGTTTAATGGCAGTTCCTATTTTCAGTGAAATAAAGCACCTAAGCTTACATAGTAAATAAAATTACTAGTTTCTGTGTTGATGCATTTCCTCTAGAGAGCTTCCAAGAAATTTATTCTTTTAATAACATAACTGTATCAACACAAGTTAAATTCTGCCATCATTTACATGGCTGTACTACTATTTAGTGCGACTTCTCAGAGCAGTCGATTGGAGTTAGCAGAAGTAAGACTAACTGATGTTGCTAGTCATTCTCACTCAGGTTTCAGTTTTCACAGCATTGACACAATAGAATTGATGGCCTTTTTAAGTTGCTTAAAATCAAGCAGTAAAATGCATTATAAAAGACTTAGGGATTATACATGTTTCTGGGCTCCCAGTGAAGGCAGAAATAGTAGAACAAGCCCATTCCTTTGGTATTATCCCTTCAGATATTCCAAGAAATTCCAGATAAATTCACAACCTACATGCCACTTTTTAGTTTGCAGATCATTTTGCAATTAAATAGTATTCTTAGGCTGGTAGAATTCACAAGCTGTTTTTCTTTCCCTGCCCTCCCCCCTTTTTAAAACTTTTTTAGAAAATTATACTACATCACTTACTAAATTTCAGATTTTCTCTGCCCGACACAAACTCAAACCATTCATCTGATCACTGCCCAGGAAATATTCTTTCTCTGACCAAGGATATTTTTCTTACTGTTTTTCAAGCCTCCGAAGTGCCCTCCCTTGCTTTTCTTCTCCAGAAAAAGACCTTTCCTCCACAACTCTTCTCTCCCCAAAACAAGACCATCAGGATGACAAAAGCAGATTCGAATGCAACTTAAAAATGTAGTGGATACTTTCCAGTGATTGTGAAGCAAGACTAGATGAAGTAAATGAACACAGAAGGAACAGCAGCTTTGTCCAAGGCCCTGGAAGCAAGTTACCCTTCTGAAGGCACTCACGTCAGGGAATACTGGAGCACACACTATCACCTTGCTCGGCCAATTAACCATTGGCATCAGCAAAGTCCAGTTCAAGCAGATCATTGAATGAATCCAGACAGCTCAAATGCACACACAAAAATCAGGGAATCAGTTGTGCTGGAAATAAGATGGGAGAAGCAACATGACCTAAGTGGGATGGATTACACAGCTACTATAGAAAGTCAGTATCGGTGAAGCCTTGCTGCCTAGTGCTAGCTAAGGATATGGCCCCCACACTCAGTCCAAGGGGAAAACAGCTACACTGAGAGCCTTTTTATATTCCTGGTCATCATCTATCTTTTCTTCACAGACTGCTCTAAGTCCCAGTAAACACACACGTGTCTCTATATGACCTCTCTAATCTCTGTATGAAGACTATGCTCACAGGAAGGGGTCATCTCCAGCATGCAGACTAGCATTCCGAACTGGACACGGTCCTTCAACTGGCGAAACGGAGCCTGCACTTGGAGCACCCCAGGCAGCAGTGGTGAGCTATATGCACAGCCTGGGTACACTCCCTGGGAAAGGGCCCCTTATAGCTTAGGGCCACATCTGGTTTCAAAGTGTGGCTATATAGAGAAATGTTTTAATGGCGGAATGCTCTAGAATCCCATGCCCTCTCTAGTTACTCCTTGTAGACACACTTCACTGAAGACACCTCTAGAAAAGAGCAACAAAGAAATAATGAATGTAAGCTGAAAGCTTTTAGTCAATACTTTCATACATACATCCTGAAATTAAGAGTCAAGAAGAATGCATACTCAAGAGGAGTGAAGAAGTAGCAGAGTTGTGTCATGATGGCAAAGCCCAAAAAAAGCACAGCAAAAGGTCACTGCTTTAAAAAACAGGTGCCACATGCAAGCATGGCCATCAAAGTCACAACATAACCAGGAGGAGACACATCTCAACTTAAAATTCCCCATAACAGAAATTAGCAGAGCCAACCAGGCTAGAGCTAGGAGAAAAGCAAGCAGCACTACAGCATTTCCCCAGAAGCTCTACTACTACTTACTTCCTTGATGAGATTTTTGTTGAGAAATATTGTACTGAGAAACTTCTACTCTGCCTTTCAGTTTCCCAGACTCGTCTTTAATTACAATAGATTTAGGGCCACAAAGGTATATTTAAATATGTGGAACTTCCTCAGGAAACTCCACATGCTCCTGATATGCTGCTGGATTTATGTATCTTCTCACTGAAGACTAAAAATTCACAGTTTTCCTGACACATGGAAAGTCATATGTCTAAGAATCCTTCCAGACAACCTTTAGCAAGTTACGACAAGGCTTATCAACAGATTTCAGTTTCAGTCATTACATTGGACTATGAACTGAAGTTCTTGCTCAGCTTGTTTCCCTCTGCCTTTTCTATTGAGAAAGGGAAATGATCTCCCCTGCAGAAGCAGGGCCAGCAACTCCGAAGCTTTCCCAGCATGAACTTGTCCAATTAACAACCTAATGTTTTCTGCAAAAATTCTATGCCCCTAAAGCACACCGTTTAAATCCTTTTCTCCCCTAGTCTTAAGCTTTTCCTGGTACCATGTACATCCCCTACATCTAAGGGCCTGTGTCTGCTCAGATAAAAGGTTTTGGAAGGGATCAATACGTTCTAGACTGGCAGCTGCAGTGCCCCTGCTCTCCTGGGGACCAGGCCTCTGCTTGGCCAAGAAGCAACTAAGAGGACAACTGAAGAAGAGTGCATGGCTGAAACAGGATCGCTACCTTGGCTTGCTCTGCATCTTCACAAAGCACAAGAGGACAACAGGAGAGATTTATCACTGCTCTCAGCAGCATGAGCACAGCGCTATAGAGTTAACTGAATTACCGGGAAAAAGGGCAGACCTACAAAACAGGCACAACCTGGAATCCTTAACTGAACGCCTCAACTTAGTCACGTCTGCAACCTAAAAGACCACCTTAGTTTCTAATATTGCTATTTAATGCTGCCTCTACTGAACCCAGCAATCTGATCCTAGAGAAGGGCTAGTTGTGAAAGAAAATGAATATTATGAGAAATTAAGATTACACAGATAACATGAAGACTAGAACACTCAAGCAGTAATCATGTATTATCATGTTCAAGCCCTGTTTGTTATGAGAAATCACTATAAACTTTTGGTCTTTATCTGCTCTGAAAATGAGTCATTCTGAAAATACACATTCATGTTGAAACACTTGAAGATTTTGCTAGTGCTTTAGTTAACCTGCCACATTACCTTGGAGACAGTCCTCCATGGGAACAGTTGGTAGGTGAAGTTAAGGGACTGGTTCTGCTGCTGGAGTGCCGGGATGGAGTCCGACCAAGGGTATTGCTGGGGGAACCCTGGCAAAGGAGCAAGACAACGGGGATTAGCAGTGTGCTAAAACACATAAGTGAGACAACACGAACAACAGGTCCAAATGCTGCCTTTATTTGCCCTAGGAAAGTTTAGTCCAGTTTTGATGACAGCTCTTGACCTAAAAATCTGCAGTACCAACTGACAAGTCAATTGAAAAAGCAACCCACAGAAAATATGGGCCCTTTTTTTTTTTTTTTTTCCAGTAAGAGGCTCTCTGATATTTTCAATCCCAAGGAAGTTGCCTTTCAGGGCACATATAGCACTCATGCACAAAGTTCATGTGCTTGCTGCAGCTAGGCTTCAAACTGCACAGATGCAAAATATATGTATAAATGTATTTGGGGAAGTGCTCTGAAAGGCCTTGCAGAGGAACTGCTCTGGGAATCAAGGAGGCACATGTGCATCTTTCTATAGTCCACAGGACCTGTAATTTTAGCCAGGCTATGTGGATGGTCTGCAGTAATGCCAGGAAAATGTTTTATCAATCTACCAAGCCACCCAGCTCCTCAAACACCATTCTCCATGCTCCACAGCATGGAGATGATTACTCTGGCAATTTAGTTACGCAGCTATTTTCCACATTGTCTAAAGCATTCTATTGTGCTTGTTAGGGGCATAAGTTAACAATATAATTTATCATTTTCCACTGGCCTGCATAATCATTTATACCACAGTAAAACAAGCAGAAAAATATTCCCACTTATGAACCATTTCATACAGGAGGAAGTTGAACAAGGTGGAAAGAATGAGTGAATCCAGCCTGTTCTCCTAGGAGCTTAGTGCGCAATTTTAGCTTACACAAACGTCTACTTGTCTCTATGCACGCGCTCAGATGGGAGGGTTCAAATTCCAGAAAATTTTACAGGATTTCTACATAGACCAGGGGAAAACAAACAAACAAAAAAAACTCCACTTGCTGCTAGGAGGAAAAAGGCAGTTTAGAAACAAAGTTGGGTTCTCCTCTAACACCTTCCTTTGGGGAAATAAGCCCAGAGTTCCACATAAAAATAAACTTTGGATAATAGTTACAGAGTGAGGACACCTACTAGGTCAGATCAAACGCCCTGCAAATTTCTTAACAGGCAATATATCAGATATTGAACAGAACCAATTTCAACATTTGCGTTACACCCAGAAAACTCTGCCAGATCAGAGACTCTCTTTTAGCCAAAGGTCATTACTGGCATGATTTTCGAAAGCACACTGACTTGAAAGCACCAACCCCATAAACTTGCAAGATCTTCTCTTTTAATCTGCATTGGCTTGATGGTGTTAAATGTTGAAAATACCCAAGCTTTTTGTTTTAACAGCCCCTATAAAAACAGCCTCATACAGAAGCCTCTGCTGCAATATTGTTTCAAGAAAGATGACGGTCATGCAAGGGCGCATCAGCGAGCCGCCGGTGTGGGGCTCTGCTGTCTGCAAGGACAAGGGCTCTCACCACACTGGTGTTACTGGAGTTCTTGAGGTGGTTGTGCAGGAGCTTGGTAGCACCATCCTGGAATGTTTTTGGCAAGGCACCAAGTAACATGGTAAACTCGGGAGTGTTCAGTTCAAAGAGAGAAATCAGGACTATTTGTGCTGCCTGAAAAATAAATAAATAAAAAGACAGTTTTTATTCTCTGAATATACAGATTTTATAAATATACATTTTGCCTGGAATGATCCTTATGGTAAATGATGCAAGTGTTTCATTTAAAAAGAAGGTGCCCACACTAGACAAACATATTTTGGATATGTCACAGGGATATATTAGTTAGCACAGCTAACTTCACAGCTGCAGCCTACAAAACATTCCTGCATTTATATAAGTTTCTCAAGTGCGTGCAGCTCCTCACAGCTAGTCTCCCTATCCTGTACACTTCATTCAGGAAGTTACTGCAAAAACTAACAGAAATCAAAAATAAAGCCAAAGGCTTAGATAAGTAGGAAAAATCTAGGAACTGAATTTGCTATTCCCATACCTTTTGCTTGTGAAAGGACTGAAGTTTTGTATACTAACCAATAACTCCTCTTCCTGAGGATCCAAATTTGTTTCAGAATCCCCAATTCTGCTTTCCCACCATTCCTTGCAAACCATGGAGGCTGTTGCAGCAACAGAAGGCCCTGGCTCAGGTGGAAGATCTACCAGGACAGCAAGAGGGACCTTTCCCTCACCCAGGACAAAGCAAACACAGCAGACTCTCCAAAGCCGCTAGGTGAAAGCGACACAGAAAGAATTGGGAATTTCACCATTAATTTCACCAGGCAGGGTCTCACGCCACTGCCAGAACAGGATCTCCACTAATTCCATCAGCAAACATACAGCTCCACATATCCTGAACTAAGACAATGGAATCAAATGGGAATGAGAACAGCATAAATCACCGAGCACAGATCTGCAGGAGTAATTAACATCACGTGTTCCTAACTAGATCTCCCCAGCAGCACACAGCCCATGTGAATGGCACCAATTCTGCTTTGTTTTCCATCCTCGATCTGAGAATATAAGCAGAGATAGTGCAAAAGCCAAGTTAAACAACGGGGAAAGTGAAGTAATGGCCAAGAACCAGCAACCACCTTCTCCAACTGGGGGCAGCTGTGGACGCACCAGCCTCCAGGGTATGTGTTTGGATACTAAGCAATAGTTTAGTTTCAGAATAAGAGGAGCATGAACTGCAATTTTGGATCAGCATGAAGGTTTAGGAATAGCAGACATTTGTATCTGAACCCTTCTGGAACTCTCCAGAACTTCCTAAAAACAAAAAGATAAACTTAGAAGAGGGTTAAAAATATAATTCATTATTGTGGCGATAACTGTACATTCTTTGTTCTCAACAAAGGAGATGGTACTTTTAGTTAATAATATATTTTAAAGTTGCAGTAATTAAGCGTATCTGCAGTTCCCTGTGAAGCATGATCCATGAGCAGACGATGAACTTCGGTACAGAGAAACCTTTTCATGGCGGAGGGGAATGAAAGCGCCTCGTTGTTCCTGTGTGCAAACTGCAATTCACGCGGCAGCGATGCTGCTGCTCAGCCAGCTCAGCCCATAGCCACGCAGCTTTGTGTTCAAAGAGCACTCTCCATCTGCAGATCTCAAAGCCTGGTAAGCAGCACTTTGCATATGGCCAAAGAAACGGAGGCACCCAATAGTCAAGGGGCTTCCCAGGACTGCCATGAACTATTTGGAGTGAAGTCTGGAAGCCTCAGGAGACGCGTAAGGAATGTGCTGGATCCTGCCGAAATTCCCGCTAATCAACTGAAACACAAAACGGCATTTTCACTTCACACTAACCACCCAAGGATGAAAGATGGGAAGAGATAACTCCCATGGTTTTCCTAACTCTACCCTCCCATGACTCGAGTTGCAGGCAACTCTGCCTGGTATCCATCAAGGATTTGTATCTCTGTCCGTTTGATCCGAGACACTTAAGTTTCACCAGCATTCTGCTATAAAAATATTACTGCAAACAAGAGACCTCAGGACAACAATCAACAACTGAATGCAAAGTGACAGTGATGCCAAAGAACATTGCCATATATGAAGTCATGCACATCCCAAATGGTTAGGAAAAAAACCACACACATCTGTGCCAGAACAAGCAGATCTCACATTCACTGACATGACAAAAAACAGGAAAGTTGATCAATAAGGTTTCTAAATTGGGGGAACGCTCAGAATCTAAAACATCCAGAGAGATCAGCTGGTAAGCCAGGAGCTGCCCAAGGTACAGTGATGTGGGACAGGATGCAAGATCCTGTCCCTTAGATCCCCCACAGATGGGTTAGAAATAAGGTCATCCTTAGAGATGTCCTGCACAAAGAGAGCAAGGAGGACCCAAGACCATGTGTACTCTATGAGTGATGCTGGAGGCACCTTTCTGCTTTGTATTAGCATTTTGTGTAGCTTGAACGTTCTTTAGTAGCTTTGTTATGGCCTGCAAATACATCACTGGGCTTTAAATGGAGTACTGAACTGACTCACAACACATATACTCTTATGGGGCCTGAAAAAAAATATAGCCTGTTTTTTGAAATAAAGTCAAGAAGTATTACAGCTCTCAAAGGCAACACTGAATCTATGTGTTAAATATTTCTTATCTCTTGTATTTGTAGGTTTGTATTGCCTTGTAAAAGCTATTATCCAAAAGTTCAACCATAATTTCCTGCTTCAGATTTAAAACACAAAGGTCTTGGCCCTCCTACCATTAAATGAAGGACACAGTTCCCACTGACCTCAAAGGCTGAAAAGGTCCACACTGGCTTGAAATCACATTTACAAAATGCTTCAAGTCTCTCTCTTACAACATTTTTCAGATGTAATATAGCTTATTTTATTTTAACGAAGAGCCTTTCTACACCTGTCTGCTAGTTAGATCCAGACACGCTTCATAATTATTTAAGTTTCATTTACTTAATCTATATCAAAGTCAAATGACATCTTTCAGGAATGATGTTACAATGTTACTCCATTCAGCCTGTGACTTGGGGACATTTTCATAACCTCAGAGTCATTAGTCATTTCTGAAAAATCTTGGCTTGTCTTTTAATACACTTATTCAAGGCATAAATAATAATAATAAAAAAAACTAAAAAAAATTCCTGTACTCAGTGTACACACATTCCCCATGCAGCACTCATGCTTGATGATATTAAACTTGAAAAAAGGCAACCTAAAGAGCCCTCTACCACAACTGATGCTCACTAATCCCTCTCCTTTCAGTGAGGAATAGAGTGGACCCAAAAGAGCACCAGAGGTTAAGGGGACCATTCCCTGCTGGCTTAGGCTGATGAAGCTCCAGTGAATTCAAGGCCTGCCTAGGAGAGTGAGAGGGTCCAGCTGAGCATCCCATTGTTGAATCATTTGAACGGGGTCACTTATGCACCTTCTTTATTCCCTTTACAGCAACGCAGCCAGGCATCTGCTTCCACAGGCAGGTAGCAGCTCCTCAAGTTTCACACTGAACCAGTGCAAAACCTGTGCTGCCCAGCAGCACTGGCTGCTGAACACACACAGATACTCTAGCAGATTTTATTTTTAAACCTAGATAGCAGGCAATGGTCAGATTCATAAAAATCCAGCAACCTCTGTGATATATCAAAGCCCCTTTTAAAAAGTTTGGGCTTGCTAAGGAAAAAGGTCAAGGCTAATTGGGATATCCATCGATTTTAAGGAAATACCTGGTCAGTGACCTGACCTAAGCTTCCTGCAAGTCCCTGTAGCTTTTCCAATCCACAAAGCAGAATAAACTGCCAGTGCCTGAGCAATGTGAAAGCAGTTTGCAAATTGCTCAAATTTATGTTGACAAAAAGCTCATGATACTGCCAACCCTGTCAGAGCAGAGAACCCCAAACTCCAGTTGTTTGAGACACAAAAGCAATCTGCAAACCAGAACAAAGTTAACAGGAAAGCACAGCAAAGCCAACATTATTTTACAGACACACACACTTTTTCAGGCTCCCAGGCAAGGTCTCTCTGCACAGCTACACAGCTGAGGTGAGACTGCAAACAAGATTAGTGTGATTAGTGCATACTACATTTAGTCTACCTGTTTACATTTCTCCTCCAAGTTTCCTTCACCAGGCCCTGAGGAAGTTGTAGTTGTCCTAGCTGGCAAATCCTCACCTACCCAACTATGCATGGTCTGGAGTTGACAAACAGGAAAGTTTAAATTATTTAGAGAAAGTATAGATTCAACTAAATGACCTAAAAAGTACATATGCTATTGCTTTGCATAAGACAGTTTTAACCAGTCACTTGCATATTTTCAAGCAACTAAAAACACTAATTTGACTTAACCAAAAGAGATTATTTCAGCAGAGGGCAGCACTGACTTAAATTATTCAGCCACAGTTCTCAGGTTTACAGATTTTCCCTTAGCCTTTCTGCAGGGCTTTGCTTTGGCGACCTACCGATGACTTCCATAGCCATTTGGAAAACCCAGCTGAGATGATGCAGGACCTGAGTAACGTGCAATTGCAGTGAGACAGCAATAGGATTTGCATCCGGCCAGCCAGGAGCATTGGGAGCAGAGCTTGGATCTTCCCATATCTGTCTATGCACGTGTGTCTCGGTGTTGAGAGGAAGTAAGAATCAAGAACATGCAAGCTCCTGACTGCAGCGTGCCCTAACAGGCCAACACTCTACAAATGCCTCGTATATTGGGATCGATCTGGGGAAGCTGCACACTAATGTGCGCTCATTTTTGACAAATATAATCATACTGCATATGAATTATTCATTTTGCCATCCAGGCTGGGGCAAGCATGATTTTAACAATGCAGGACTTGAGTTCGTTCGTTCCTCTGTCCTGATATCCCCTTAGTTATACAAAAGCACAGCTAGAACAGAAATCCAGTAGGACTGGGAAGCAGCAGTGACATTAGCAGCTTGCATTAGCACATGTATTGACACAGGGCAATACTTTAACCACCTTATTGGATGAGCATAGCTGATACGGAGAGTTAATTCACCCCTAGAGTGTTTGCAGAGTCTACAAAAGTGCAGTTTCAGCATACTTTCTAGCAGACAATTAAGCTTTAGCTTAGAAACAAGCTAACAAACTATCTGCCAAACCGAACCTCCCGCTTGTTCCCTTTTTG